TACTTAGCTTGGTTAAAAGAGGTATTACAGATGATAAAAATAGATAAATACAGAATCATTCCAATCCAGGGGAGGTTTGCAACTTCTTAATTTGAAGTTCCTGGAAGCAACAGTCCTTGACCCATACTGTAATATGAATCAAACCCCAATGGCTCTTTATCTTTCCAGCGAATATATAGCAGTTAAAAAAACTAGTCAGAACTGGTTTGAGCCACACCACAGAATGAAAAGGTCAAAGGCTCCCAACTTCTCATAGAATAATGAGACCATATGTCTCCGTATATATGAGGCCATGTTTCAGTATGCACTAGACACACACACACATATATATAATAAGTACTTATACACTAACATAATTGATAGCACTAACTACTACTAAGTTTCCTCTAAATCAATAGCTATTCGAACCCCACACTACATAGACCCTAATACCGTAATACTCCTCAGCCAATCCCTGGAAGGGAGCACCCAGAAGGTAGCTGAGGAGATGATAAATGTATGGGAGGCCTAGCTAGAGTTTCTTCTGCTAGGAGGGATCCAGTTCTCCTGAGGCTGCTGTATCTTGGAGGCAGTTATACTGAGTCAAGAACATTACTATTGGATTTTTGCTGGAGGGCATTGTCCTGAAGTCTAAATCTGGAGAAGGATCCTTTTGTCTCCCTCACTAAGGATCTACCTGGTGAAGCTGGGTGACAAACAGCTCCTAGGATATTGTGAGTAAGACCTGTGTTTGGGACTTTCATTAGTTCCTGAAGTTATATGGATTTGAGCTAGACATGTGTGGACCTATTGATTATTTTGGATTATTTGGCACCCCTGAACCCTGCTCCTTTTTCAAGTTTCTAAACAATACATTCTAAAAATACATCGCTCTCAGATTGAGCCTCTGTTGTTGGTATGCATGGAACCTTGCTTGTAACTGGTAGCCTCTGTACTACCAAGAGAGATCTAGGCATATGCTAATAAAAAAAAAAGTAGCTAAAAAAGTGCAGACAATTGAAGAGCTATATATTAATCAGCTGTTGTGGACAGATTTTTGACCATACAATGGCTTTCTGATGTACAGATGTACTCTAGCAATTAAGCATAATGTTAAAGTATGTGTAACTCTGATATATCATTTGGAAACCTTTCTTATATTTTAATCACTAGTTTTCACCAAAATAACCATTGGTGACGCCTATATAAAGGTCTTTGTTAGGGCACTTTGTGTTATGGAATGACTATGCACTGCCCCTGTCTCCCACAATCTCCTTCTTGTAAATCACCCTGTCACATGCTCTTCATATGGAAACTATTAGCTTCTGTGCTGATGCACATTGACCAGACATATTGCACTGTGGTCACCAAATAAAGTATACATTACTTAAAAATTGAAGATCAACTCCATTGAAAGACTCTACCCCTCAAAGTCAAAGTGCCAGTGATTTAAAAATAAAACTGTTGCTAGAAAAAAAAAAATACCTAACTTGTACTTGGCTTTTGACCCATCCCCTGGTGACATCATCTGTGACAAAACACGTTGGGTGGGGCTTACAGGAGTGATGTCATCACGTACTGCAAGATGATTGGACGAATCTGAAGCAGTCCACAGAAGCACTGTATATGCCTAAATGTGAGTGTATTACTTTTATTTTATTATTAAAGAAGTCTTTTATGGTTTTACACTATATGCTGGTACTGTGGTTTTTACTTTTGTGAGCTATTGAGGGGTACTGTGGATCCTGAATTTGCAGCACTGATGGTCAATTGGCAAGGTGGCTGGAACAGCCCCAAAAGCCATGTCAGGTCGTTTGCTCTATAAGCAGTGGTCTGTGGTATCTGGTAAGCTGCTGACTTCCCCTGCACCTCTCACTGGTGTTTTTTGTGGAGATTCCTCAGCACTGCACTTCTTTTGGAGGACTTATTGGACTTGTATTGATTATTTTATGTTTGTTTTTAGAATATGTATACTGTATGTTGTGATAGCGCTATATGATATTACACATTGCTTTATCAGATATCATTATATTTGTATGTATACAATTTTTTGTATTTCAGTTTGGGATTTGGCACTAAACTATTATTTATTATTTGCTATTTTAGACTTATTATATCAGAAGTCTTTTTAGTGATAGCAGCTTTATTAGAAGGTGGGGATATATTTTAAAGTGCAGAGGGTTTTCTTATACATTTTATGCTTTACTTAATTCAACTGAAGCATGTTGTCAATATGTCTTTTGAGAACCCACCCTTTATAGTGATCCAGCTGATATCTCCAAAAGTCCACTTCTACGCCAGCTGTACTAAGTTTAAACGCCAGGCAGTGTGGTATCGCTACTATGGTGAATTTCTGCATCAGTTTTGTGGGATCACAAACCTTGAACATGAAGAGCTTGCCCTGATGACATTCCATAGATATGAAGAGGTGGCATTCCTATTATTATGCCTAGTAGGTCATAGGCAGGGGCGGACTGACAACTCATGTAGCCCCCGGGCAATAGGGGATCATGAGGCCCCTGTGCCCTTGCCCAAACTCAAAAAAGCCTATGAAAAAGGTACCAGGGGTATCTCATGGGTCTCCCCACTGACCCCCGGCCCTTGGGCAGTGCCCGAGTTTCCAAATGGTCAGTCCGCCCCTGGTCATAGGTATCGTAACTAGCCACATTGGATCCCTTTGGTTTAAATAAAGATCATGAGTTGTATTTGTTATCTGATATTGTTTTAAGGGTAAGTGTTCAGTTTTTTTGTATTATGTAACGTTGTATGTATGATGAAATAAAGGGAAAAACTCTTCCCTCTCCCACCCCCCCAAATTCCTCTAGGTCAACAGAATTTTGTTATATAGGACCTTTTAAGGGTGTACATTTACAAGGATTAGGATTATGAGTTTTATTTGTTTATTGGATATTGTTTTAAGGGTGTTACATTTGTTTTTTCATTATACATACAATGTTACATGATACGAAGAGTAAAAACTCTTCACTCTCCTACCCCTCAAACTCCTCTAGATTAACAGGATTTTGCTACCAATAGAGCCTTCTAAGGGTTTACATCTACTTTCAGAGACCAGTTCCTACAGGCCCTACATCAGCGGTTCTCAACCTTCCTAATGCCGCGACCCTTTAATACAGTTCCTCATGTTGTGGTGACCCCCAACCATAAAATTATTTACCCGTTAATTATAATTCATGAAGTGTCGTTTTACCTCCAATACTGCTGCTTTCTACACAGTAGCTGCTTTCTACGCAGTAGCTGCTATTGACACATTGGAAATATGTGTTTTCCGATGGACTTAGGCGACCCCTGTGAAAGGGTTGTTCGACCCCCAAAAGGGTTGAGACCCACAGGTTGAGAACCACTGCCCTACACTAATCTTTCCCTATGCACTTTATCGGAAGCATTTTCTATGCTTTCTCCATCACAATTAAAGCCCAATATTGTCAATATGGCTGGCTGCTATAAAACCCAGCCTTTTATAGTGAGAGGGCTTGGTTATCCAAAAACACCCTTATTGGTCCTTCTAAGCCCTTCTTATTCAGCTGACCTTTATTTAAAGGTCAAGCAGTGTCCCTGTTAGACCAAAATCTGAGCCCCATCCCTAGTATGATATCTTCTATTGGGCATAATTATAGGATCACCACTTCTTCATAACTATGGAATAAGTACCGTGACACACTGGATCCTAAAGGTTTTAATATTGGTTTTGACTTGTATTTGTTTAACTAATATTGTTTAGTGGTAAATGTTACTTTTTTATATCATTTAACATTGAGCAAGGGCATTCCTTTGAACATGAGCATTTCTTTGTGTCAAGAAAACCATGCTCAAAGGAATGCCCATGCATGAAAAAGGGTCCATAGACCCTGCATGCATCTACATGAGAGCATGTACATTAGCATTCTGTGCATGCTCATGTGAACAAGAGTGCTTGCTTGATGAACTTTGGCTCCCAGTGTCCTAATTAAAGCCTTACAGGTTCATGGTTGAGTGGTTGTCAGCTCCTTTTGCTTTGGAACTGATCTTGTGTTCTTCTGTATCTTGACCCCGCTTACTGTTCCTGCACCTCTGTTGCTGACTCTAGCTTGTGACCCGACCCTGCTTCCTGCCTATTGTTCCTGTACTTCTTCTGGTTGCCTGATGCTGACCTTGGTCTGGCTCTGACTCTGCTCCTGGTTCCTAACTCTGTATTCCTGCTTCCCAATTGTTGCTGACCACTGCCCATCTGACTACGTATCCAAGATGCAGAATCTGCTTGCTGACAGCTGGTCTGCTTCAGCTCTGATTCTGCTATCAAGATATTCCAAACCAAATCTCCTACAGGCCACTCTAGGCCCTGTTATACCCTGTCATCATTCCTGTGGAAACAGGAAAAGAGGTATAAGGGCAGCCCTCTCATCAACTTGGCCTCAACCAGGTATGTGACACATTGTACGTATTCATTGACAAAAAATATTATTGTTTTATATTTTGTTATTTCTAAATTCTACATTTCTTGAGGAGTTTTTCCATATACAAAGACAATGTTGGTGATGGACAGTCCTTGGTTTGGCTGGAACTTTTGAAGGTGTTCAGGCATGGTATGCAACATCAGTGATCTTGATTAGGAGTGGGGTTGTTCAAAATGTTTGGAAAAAATACTGTATACTGGATATCTACAGCAGCAAGAACGTGGTGCCATTTTTTTTTTAAGTGTGATAGACAGATACCATTGGCATCTGTAAGGTCATTCTTTCTTTAAGAAAAGCTATGGTGTAGGGCAAGCTGTTTTGTCTTCTCACCTAATTAGAGTCTCCCGTTCATTTGCATATGGCAGATATAAAGGTTGATCCTACTAACATAATGGTTATACAACTTATAAAAGGGTATTCAATATTTGTTGGGGTAGAAAAGGAAAATATGTAATTGGAGACCTAAGCAGCCATATATGTTTTATTGCAACAACTAATCAGTCATTGAATGGATTTTGGTAGCATATGAATGTGTACATTTTAGCTTTATGAGTGGTTTGTCTTCAACATTTAATACCTCAATTGCAACGAAAACTGCTTTTGGAATAACCTACTTATCTTTATAAAAGCATTTTTCACTTCAGTATTCCTAAGTGTATAAATAAAGGGGTTTAGCATTGGAGTGACAACGGTATACATTAGAGCAAGGAATTTATCATAATGACTGCCCCTTGGCCTGATATAGACAATAATGACTGTACCATAGAACAGACAGGCTACAATAAGATGGGAGGAACATGTCGAAAATGCCTTTTTTTTCCCTGCAGAGCTGTTTATCTTTAGCACAATGCTTATGATATTAATGTAGAGAACTACTATTGTAGTAAAAGGACAAATCACCGAGCTAATGGCTGCTGACATAGTGGCAAGATTGCTGATCAATGGGTCGGAACATGCCAAATTCTGAAGTGGAGCCAGATCACAGAAAAATTGATCAATCTCATTTGGACCACAGTACTCCAGAATAACTGTGAACATTACAGGTATAAAAGAAATAATAAAACCAGCCATCCACGGAAGAGCACCTAACACACAACAAAACATGTTGTTCATAATTGTTGCATACCGCAATGGATTGTTAATAGCCAAGTATCGATCTAAGACCATTAGTGCAAGAAGAAAGCATTCTGTTTCTCCTAAAGAGTTTAAAGCATACATCTGCATAAAGCAGCCAATCAGAGATATGCTGTAATCAGCCTTGGAGAGGATTGATAAGAGTTTTGGAATAGTTACTGAGACAAACATAATTTCTAAAACAGAAAATGTAGTTATGAAGAAGTACATTGGGACCTGAAGAGTAGGATGAGTCCTAACTAAAACAATAATGGAGATGTTTCCAAGTATACATATTATATAAGCCAGTAGGACAACAATGAATATTACATTATGAAATGCTTGCAGCCTATAAAATCCCAGTAGAAGAAACTCCTTCACTATTGTCTTGTTAGCATTCTGCATTGTTGCATTAGTAATACCTTAAAAGAAAAAGAATTAAAAGAATAAATATGATTTATAAAGGAACTTGCACTGCGAAGAAAAATGTAGGCTGCCATTGCTGACTACATGCTGAATATGCTAGTTGCATGGCTGTCATGTTATTCCAGTGGCTTCAATAATGAGTCACTCACCAAGAACAAGCATGCAGCTAGGTGATATCAGAATTCCTAATTGTTCCAGATCAGTAACTTGAAATATTAAAGCAATAGGATCAACTAAATAGATTTTTCCTTTCTTAAAATAGGCATGACTTTACTTTCCTAAATGTCACAGATAGCAATAGAAGGTGATAGTGGCTCTATCCTTTCCACACTTTAATACCAAAATTAAGTCCAACTCCAGTCGAAACCTTTAAGTAGATGTAAATCCTAAGTGGATGACATTTAGTTTGCCAAAGCACTGTATATCGTAAACATTTGAAAGCTTTTTTTTTAATACTTTTTTACTTATTTTTCTTCCTTTTGGTATCTCAGAGTGCTTCTACTCTCCTCTATATTCTTTAAAGTGTTACTAGGCCCTCTGTCTGGACAGTGCTGATTTGCCCTGTGTTGATCACATGCACTCTCCCAAAGAAAGAATATCTCTCTAGCAATACACACCAAACTGAGAATGTGCAGAGTGACTCCTAGAGCTCTATCAGCAGATGGACTGGGGATGGTAGAAGAAGGGGAGGATCAGAGAAGACAGGATCAAACAGCCTTTTTACACAATGTGGATGATTAACCCCTTTCAACAGTGAGTATAACATGCATGTTTTAGCGCATATACAGACTACTTAAAGTGTTACTAAACCCACAACAGTAAAATCAATTTCCTATCTGTATGCACTTGCTCGAGCATCAGCTTCAGATCATTGCTGTGGTCCAGCTTCTTGATAGTGTATCATGCCTGTGCACCAGGAGTACATGTAAAAGGTGAAAAAGCAGGAGCATAACATGGAGTCAGTTGATCACCAGGTTTTATTTTAATGAAAGCTGCATAATTAAAAAAATGGTTCAAATAACCTTTGAAGTTACTTTACTAAAATCTTATGATCAGTTTAGATCAGCAATGGGCAAACTACGGCCCACGGGCCGTATACGGCCCGGCGGATCTTTTAATCCGGCCCGCGGAGCGTGATACATTGGCTGTCAGGATGTGTGTAGGCGGGGCAGCGTGACGAATGTGAGGGGAGCTAGGCTCCTCTCACAGTCCGCCCTGAAGACCGGAACGGCGCGGGAACACGGCGAGAGGAACGCGCGGAGCAAAGGTAAGTAAATTGACACAGGGGAATATGGGGAATGAATTACTATATGGGGGATGAATTACTATGGGGGATGAATTACTATATGGGGGATGAATTACTATGGGGGATGAATTACTATATGGGGGATGAATTACTATATGGGGGATGAATTACTATGGGGGATGAATTACTATATGGGGGATGAATTACTATGGGGGATGAATTACTATATGGGGGATGAATTACTATGGGGGATGAATTACTATATGGGGGATTAATTACTATATGGGGGATGAATTACTATATGGGGGATGAATTACTATGGGGGATGAATTACTATATGGGGGATTAATTACTATGCTTACTATGGGGGAATATTACTATACTTACTATGGATGACACATACACATCATTCATCTACTCTTGGTCCGGCCCCCGGGTCCAATATATGAACCCATTGCGGCCCTCAAGTCAAAAAGTTTGCCCACCCCTGGTTTAGATTATGAAGCAGAACCGGACACAGGATCAGTAGTTATTTTGATATGATTAGGTTATACTGTCACCCTCATGAAAAAATGGACACTGGCAAAAAAGGACCTTTGGCCAGCCAAGGAGAAACCTCCTGCTCCCAGCATGCTTTAGTTTTATGCTAGTGTCCCAGGTGGATGAATGTCTTTTCTGTACTAAGTTGTCCCCTTTTTAATTTTTACTAGCCTTTTTCTTTTTCCTAGATATTTTCTTCAAACTACATGCTGGTAGGTTCATTATGCAGTTTTTCAGATTGGCTAATCTTTGACACTATCTTGGAAGCTGTACCCAGACTCTCTGGACTGAAAACTGTGTCTCCTACCAGCAACAGACACGTAGTTGGTCACTGCTGCTGCCTAAAGTGACCTAGTCACCTCTGACCATTAAACTCCTCCTGTCTATGTAGTGGATTGTGAACAAGCAAAGGTGTTGGCTGGTGTTCACTATTACATTGCTCCTGTTTAAACAGTACAACATATCAGACCGCAAGCACAAAGGGAGCAGTTCTGGCTCATGATCCACTAAGAGTTCTGGGATGGCTTGAAGTGTCCCTGCTAACAGGGGTGACAGCCTGAACAGTTGGCCTCTGTTTAAGTTGACTCACTCCTCAGAATCTTCCATAGCTGTGGCGTGGAAAAAGTGTGGTCCTGTCTTCTGCAGTATCAAAGAAGGAGTTTTCGGCAACCGTGTAGGTTTTTTTCACATATGTGAACCAAGCCTTAACCTGTCTGTGTTTCCACTCAGGTCAGTAGACCTCCATGCTGCTCTTGAAGATCTTTTAAATCAAGACGTCACCCTTGGTTTAACAGGGGCATTCTCCCTATCTTAGACTTGAATGTGCTAAATGTTTTCATTGGAGTTCAAAATTCTGCATTAAAGGATAAGTTCTCCTTTGTTCATCTTTTTTTTCTAAATTCCAGCTCCCCTATGTACCAATATAGTATGTCTTATGCAGAAATTCAAAAGCTTTCCATTTTGTTGCTCTTTGTTCTAACTTGCTGTCCATGATGAAATAGCAGACATGGTAATACACATGGTCATATAGCATCAGTTGCACAGCTCCTGATGTACACAGGATGCTGTCTTTGGCACACTGACTTATAAAGGTTGGTGTTCCCTGTGACTGTGTGTGCAGCCTTGTGCTGCCATCTGTTGGTGTGCTACAAAACTAGTCTAGAAATTTTTGCTATCACCTTATATGACTGGCAAATAAAGGTGAAAAGAATTCTAGCCTGGGCAGAATCCCATGTTCAAGCTCTGTCCCCTGTTCACATCCCAGGCATAGACAATGGCAGACAGAATACATCAATCAACAGTGTCTGTGCAGGGGAATGATCTCTACACCCAAATGTATTCCAAGATGTGTTTTCACAGGTGGGAATGCTGGATATGAACTGTCTTGCCTCCAGATTCAACAACAAACTCTGGCAGCAGCAGTGGATGGAATCAGTATAGCTCGATCTATGCTTTTCCTCCTCATACTTCTACTCTGCATGATCAAGATGGAAAGAATTTCAGTAATACTTATTGGCCTGGACTGGTTCAGGAGGATGTGAGATCCCAACCTTATCAAGCTTCTGGCAGACTATCCATGTCTCTCCCAGATTGAATGAATTGCGTATCTCCAAGTTCAGTCTTCCAACCTGCTTCACAGTCCCTGGAATTACCAGTATAGCTGTTGAAGCCAAGATCTTGAGAGACAGGTGTCTCTCTGATTCAGTAATTCTCACGCTTTTTTTAACATTCCTTTTCAATTGTAATAACGTATAACAAAAATACAAAGATATGTTATGCATCAAGGAAAAGCATACAGTACATATACAAGAAAATGGAACAAGACACACAATGGTTTGGGCAGGTTTACACATAATGGTTTGGGCAGGTTTCATGTACCACCAAAAGCACACAAACATTAATATCATGCTTAAGGTATGTATGGAGAAAGCCTTGCAGATGAGGGGATTTCTTAACAACTAAAACCACTCAGCAGGTGAGGGCATAATCAACTACCCAATCTTAACACAGAGTAGACAGTGGGGGGTAGGGGGTCCAAAAAAAAAACAATATATGCAGTAGGCAATCAAGAAAAAAAGGTGAAGAGAAGAAAAAGGAAAAAGAAAAGGTCAAGAATAGAGATGAGCGAATTTTTCAAAAATTCGATTCGGCTGATTCGGCGAATTCCAGGAAGAAATTTGATTCAATGCGAATTAATTCGCTACGAAGTTAACTTATAAAAAGGGTTTCTAGGCTTCAGAGAGCCTTTAAATTAGTGCAAAACACTGTACCTTTAATTTAAATGCCCTTGGAGATGAGGAAGGAGAAGGAGAAGGATGAGAAGAAGGAGAAGGAGAAGGATGAGAAGAAGAAGAAGAAGGATGAGAAGAAGGAGAAGGAGAAGGATGAGAAGAAGGAGAAGGATGAGAAGAAGGAGAAGGAGAAGGAGGAGAAGGAGAAGGATGAGAAGAAATAGAAGGAGAAGGATGAGAAGAAGGAGAAGGAGAAGGATGAGAAGAAGGAGAAGGAGAAGGATGAGAAGAAGGAGAAGGATGAGAAGAAGGAGAAGGATGAGAAGAAGGATGAGAAGAAGGATGAGAAGAAGGAGAAGGATGAGAAGAAGGAGAAGGATGAGAAGAAGGATGAGAAGAAGGAGAAGGATGAGAAGTAGGATGAGAAGAAGGAGAAGGATGAGAAGAAGGAGAAGGGTGAGAAGAAGGATGAGAAGAAGGATGAGAAGAAGGAGAAGGATGAGAAGAAGGACAGTTCTGTGACAGTTTCTGTCTATTTCTGACAGTTCTGTGACATTCCCTCCATACAGCGGTTGAAACATTGTATCTATTTGTTTCCATAAATGGATCCATTTATGGAAACAAATAGATACAATGTTTCAACCGCTGTATGGAGTGAATGTCACAGAACTGTCAGAAATAGCCTATTTCTGACAGTTCTGTGACATTCACTCCATACAGCGGTTTCAACCTACTTCTTCTTCTTCTTCATCCTCATCCTCATCCTCAGAAGAAGAGGATGAAAATAAGAATAATTCCAAGCCGGCAAAAAGTGTATGTGCAGAGTTCCTCTATTCTGCAGATACACTTAGAGGAGCTCTGCTGATACACTTAGAGGAGCTCTGCAGATACACTTTTTGCCGGCTTGGAATTAATCTTATTTTCATCCTACTTCTTCTTCTTCTTCATCCTCATCCTCAGAA